GGTCAATACTATTTCATTTTCAAGCTTCTATTTCCTGGGCAAGCTTCTCTGCCTAACACAACCCTCTGGCAGAAGTTTTGGAAAACAGTACGACATACACAAATACTCTGTCCTGAACCAGAATTGAAAGCTGCTGTAAATGATGCATGTTTGTGGCATCCTAAAACAGTGAAAGCATCACATTTTCAAAAGCCTTGAGTCCATTTGTCCTGTAGCTTCAGGTTAGTTCATGATGTGTATACACCTTATTTAGGTAAGCACAGTTGTCATAAGTACCCAGGACTGTGCTAGCTGTGACAAATTAATCTTTCTTGTACACATACGATGAATTAGTAATTCCTTCATAATGGAGCATGTGATGAAAGCCCCTTTAGAATTTCACTTCCTTTAAAGCCTAAAAAGGCAAACCTTTGGAAGTGGATAAAAGGCATTGTGAATGGGAGGTGCCTGTGGAGATAGAGACAGGAGCTATCTTTTTTGAACATGATGCAACAATGTATTGAATTTTAAGATACCACCTAAAGTTGCCTGCTTTGCTGCTGGTGGAGGGTGGTTTGCAGATGCAAACACATAAAGAAAATAAATTGTACGATATCCAGATTAATCGCAAAACCTCAGGGCTTAAACTTCTGCGGATTGTTTCCTTTATGTCCTGACCTCCTCAGAACAACTCACTATAAATACTTTGTGTTAATTAGTTGAATTGTTAATTAATTAGTTGAATCAGGAAAAAGTACTATTTCTTTCTTCTTTCTAAGAGAAAGGCAGTTTTTTTCAAAGTGGGTTTGGGATAGGTATTTGCTGTGTCTATGCTATACACATCTGAGACTATTATGCGTAATTTGTTTATCTAGTAACATGTTAATGAACACTAAGACATAAACTAGCAAGAACAGTTAATAACTTCCAAATCAGTAGATCACATGAAGACTGAACATTGTAGGATTCTGGATGCATATACTGGGATCAAACTGTTGAATTTTTTAACCCCGGGGAAATACCCTTAATCATTAACAACTGTGTCAGAGTATAAGGCAGTATTTTAGTTGGCAAACAAAGTAAACTGAAGAAGTCTGCAATCATGGTTTTCATAGCTATCATGCTCTAAATTAGTGTCCGCCCATGTTTATGTTACTATACAAACTGATTATCATTCCTACCAGTAGTGTAACATTTAACATGGTTTAGTTGGAGTTGCAGTGGGACTGATAGTGTGCATTTCAGTTATCAGTCAGAACTTTTTAATAAATAATGTTTTTAGTCTTGTTAAGAGAAGAATAGGAGAAATGTATGACTGATCACATATTCAAATAAATGAATGTGTAATTCTTGTTGTCATTTAGCATTTCAGATATATATGTAGTTAGTTGTGCCTGGAATCTCTCACTGCTTATTGCTAAAAATGCAAGGGTATCAGTCTTCCTTTTGTATTTATGCAGAATAGAATTTTAACTGTTAATATTATTTTCATATTCTTTCCACAAAATATCACAATAAAAACCACTGCATTACCTATGTAGTTAGTCTGTGTATGTGCTTAAATGCTGTTTTGAATAGAGATGAAATTATATTCAGTTTTACTGGAATCTAAATAAAAGTCCCTGGCCAAAACTTAGAACTTAAAAGCTTGAAGGAACAGATCCTTTACATAAACAACTTTTTTTTTCAGGTAGCTGTTACTCCCTATACACATGGTGCTCTGTGTCACATAGATCATCCTGAAAACCCAAAAGCTTGGAATAAGAGAATAGAATAAAATAGAGTATTTCAGTTGGAAGGGACCTACAACGATCATCTGGCCCAACTGCCTGACCGCTTCAGGGCTGACCAAAAGTTAAAGTACGTTATTAAGGGCACTGTCCAAATGCCTCTTAAACACTGACAGGCTTGGGGCATCAACCACCTCTCCCTAGGAAGCCTGTTCCAGGGTTTGACCACCCTCTCCGTAAAGAAATGTTTCTTAATGTCCCGTCTGAACCTCCCTTGCTGCAGCTTTGAACCATTTCCACGCATCCTATCATTGGATACCAGGGAGAAGTGCTCAGTACCTCTCTCTCCAGTTTCCCTCCTCAGGAAGCTGTAGAAAGCAATGAGGTCACCCCTCAGCCTCCTTTTCTCCAAACCGGACAAGCTCAAAGTCCTCAGGCACTCCTCGTAGGACATTCCTTCCAGCCCTTTCACCAGCTTTGTTGCCCTCCTCTGGACACATTCAAGGACCTTCACATCCATCTTAAATTGTGGGGCCCAGAACTGCACATAGTATTCAAGGTGAGGCTGCACCAACGCTCTTGACCAGCTGGTTATGCTGTGTTTGATGCACCCCAGGATGCGGTTTGCCCTCTTGGCTGTCGGGGCACACTGCCGGCTCCTATTGAGCCTGCTGTCGACCAGCACCCCCAGATCCCTTTCTGCAGGGCTGCTCTCCAGCCACTCCTCTCCCAGTTTAGACAGTGTTACTCTGTCCCAGGTGCAGAATCTGGCATTTTGACTTGTCACTTTCAGGTCACTGATGATTGCCCAATGCTCCAGTCTATCCAGATCCCTCTGCAAGGCCTCTTGTCCCTCAAGAGAGTCAACAGCACCTCCCAGTTTGGTGTCATCACCAGACTTGCTAATGGCGCATTCGACTCCTGCATCCAGATCATTGATAAAAATATTCAACAGAACTGACCCTAAAATTGAGCCCTGAGGAACACCAATAGAAGAAAACAAGAAGTAGTTGGAAATTTTCAGAAGGGGCAAGATGAATGATTTAGTGTCTAGAAAATATGTCTTCAAATCAAACATATTTTATGCCTAAAAATAGTTAAGAAGTGATTGTATAGCCTACACAGGAAGGTTTCTGTCATTAAAGAGATGTGTCTGTCAGATAAATCTGAAAGTTCATTTTATCGATATTTAGAGTAGAAATAATGAACAAAATAATTAGCAGTGAGAACAATTTCTCTTGAGAAGCTTGCCCTAGTGGAATATGATGAAGACTCATTTTAAATATAGATCACATATCTTTCTGAGCTTGATGAAGTAATTAACATGTTTTAATGGTGACCAGCACTGCTTGGCTTACGCTATGCAGTAAAAGTGAACACAGATTCATTGTCTTCAATGGCCAGTGAAATCTACTTCTAAAAGAAACTCCAGCAACAAAAATCCCCCAAATGACAAAAAAGAAACAGTTTCTTTATTTGGTTCATTGCATAGCACCAAAAAGCATTGAAGCAATATGGCAGTGAGGAATGAGTGTCATCTGTAATGCCACCTTTCTTTTTAAGTGCAATTACTACTACTTTTTAACAAATTGGTTCTCTGAACAAACAAGGCCACAAGTTGCAGCAACAAAATGAGAGTAGTGCAGTAGTGGGAATGAACAGCAGGAGGTGTAACTTCAGTGCTATAGTACTGCTGTGGACTAAGCATTGTGGAACAAGTAACCTAAGATTCAGAATTGGGCTTTAAATGTGTATGTGGTCTTCATTGTTTGATTGTAGCATTATGTTAAGAAGGGAAATTCTATGGCTATGGTATATAGTAAGTTGGACTTACTATGATGATGTTTTAAGCTTGTAGTTTTTATCATGCGGCATGCTTTTAAAATTTGATCTTTCCTGTGTGATTGAATACTTTGACATCATAATATTTTCCACTGAAGCAAGAAGAAATCAGAATATTAAAAAAAACCCCACCACATTATTGCCATGTAAGAGTATGTTTTCTTACATAGTAATTGTGTATTTTTAATAATATACTTTTTATAAAAAAAGTCTTGTCTAGCTAATATTAAACAGTTGTAAGAGAGAAATAAGAAGTGATTCCTCACAGTTATTACAACAAAATGCTTGTCAATTGCCCTGTAAAAAAGGGAGAAGTTAATTTTATATGTAAATTCAAATATCAGCTGTAGTATTTTTCAGTTTCTGCTATACAGAGAGTGAATTCAGCCAATATTGATGAATTATGCCACTAAAATTATGGATGGTACTGTGATATTTGAAGTAAGATAGGGAGGGCTCATTAAAAAATGTCTACATGGAGGATGATCAGTGTTTTTAAAAGTATAAGTGGTAGTTTCCATTGTTTTCATTTTGGCCATTTAATGTAGCTAATTAATTGCATGCCTTTTCTTACCGTGCATCCCGTTGTCTCTATCATTTTCATTGTTGTTTTTGCTCTTCTAGCTTCCCAGTTAAATTAGTTAGGTTCTAATATTTTTTCTTTAATGCTGTCATTATCTAACTGATCAAAATATACATTGATATTAAAAAAGAAAAGAATGGGAATGGATGTGAGAGTATTCATACATTTGCACTTGAAGAAATACTACTTTGTATTTTAGTAGTGCTGTGTTTTCTTTTCCTTTTAAAAGGCAAAATTATTGTGAACAAATCTGCTTTTCCAAAGGCTGGATCCTGCAGTCTGTATAACTCATGACTTTCCATTTACTTTGACAGCTGGGGATATTCAAAGGGTGCTGGCAGCAGTAAGGGTGATGTCCTGTCCCAGTGAAGCTAATGGTGGAAAATCTATTGAATTATTTGGGTTTGGGATTTGATTCTGTGATTTCAGAGAGCTGAAGTTTTGTTTCTAATTCAATGCTTATTGCAAGCTGTGCATGTCTCTTTCTGATTTAGTTGGAAGGAAAATATATGGATGCCTCTGTTCAGGCTTTATTTATTTTTTTATTTTATTAATGATATTTTTGTTCAGTCAAGGTTATTTTTGTTTCAGTGCAGCTCACCAATTTCCTGAGCAGGTTGGAAGGTAAAATGGACTTTGAGGCTGTGATCCTGCAGTATATATGCAAGCAAAATGTCTTTCTGACCTCATTGGGGAGGTTTGTGTTCACTGGGACTCTGGAATGAGGCCTTTTAGTAGAACATATGCCCTAGCCAGGAATAAAGCAGGCATTTCTATTGATCTGTAAGCAATCTGTCAAAACTTCTCTGATCAGGCTTTTTTACTATCTTGTCTTGAGTCCTTTTTTTAATGACATCTATTATCAGATTGAAATGGCGATTGAGACACTGCAAAAGTCTGATGGTCTGTCCACTCACAGAAGCTCTCTTCTCAACAGCCATGTAAGTTGTCTCTTCTTCACATACACTCTCTCTTGCTTGTTCTGCATGCTTAGCCTGCCTCTAAATGTTTGTTTTATTTTATTACTACTTTTTGCTCTTAATCTTCTCATCTTAGTTGCTTGTAATCTACATCTCCCATGGCTTTATTTTGTCAGATGAAATGTCTTTATGGTATATTGCAGTGTTACCTGTTTCCTATGCTCTACACCTGTGTTAAAACAAGTTAACACATTTAACTGTTTTGCGGATTATAGTATAAACGTCAAGATAAAGTTCAAATAATTCTAAATTAGCTGGCTTTTGACATTTTAAGTAAAGTTGTCTACACAGCAAAGTCTGTGTCCCTATATTGATTTTGGGGTATGTGAAGAGGAAGAGAAGAAACAAACAGCATGCCTAAATAATTATCATTAGATTATTTTTAGGTGTTTCTTCATTTATTCTGAATAGAGTTTATTATTAAATGACTTAAGAATCCTAAAGATCCTTATGATGACCTGAAAAAAAGATGAAAGCATTATCTTAATTTGAAGTACACAAAAGAGTCTTGTTCAGCTGCGTTTTGCTTTGTTCTTACTCTGCAAATCTTACAGTTAAGAACTTCCCATATACAAAGCTAAAATATATTTGGGTAAAAACATGATCTCCAAATATAGTGATAAATTCATTATATGTAACTTCAAAATAAAGCAAAAAGGCCCAAAGTTAATTTTAAACTTACTATATAAATAATAATATTGCTTTGTAAGTTGCTAGTCTTTCTTGAAATTTTTTTTTTTTTTCTGTTGGTATTTGTGGTTTTGGATTTTGTATTTTTGCCATGTTGATTAGTTTGTATTTCTCTTGCCTCTTTTTTCCTTCTCAGCTTCAAATTCCTTTATTGTTTTACAGAAGAAATTTAAATTTGGTTTGTGGTCTTAATCTAAGAATACGGTGGTAGAGGCTGTCCCTCAGAAATCAAATTAAAAATGTATGTTTTAGCAGGTTTGGGTTTTGGATTTTTTCTGTATGGGTCTGGTTATGTCAAAGTCAAAACTAGAATTGTTTTGCGGAAATTTTAAGCAAACTTTTTCTTTAGAAATTGACAAAATTGAAAGAGGAAAATCACATTACAAGAAGTTATACAAAAAGTTATACAACAGAAGGACTCTTAGATTCCACCTTGGATGTTTATAAAATAATTGTTTTGAAGATAAGACAGTATCAAAATTATTATTTAAAAACTAATAGATCATATTAGACAGGTAATATCAAAATTATTATTTAAATGTCATTTTAAAAGGGACCATAACTTTTTTTGGCAAAGTGTCAGAAATTTATGTTAAGACTTGGAACACTTGAACTGTTGATAACTTCAGGTTTAATCCTGTTATGAAGTCCAGAATCTTGGTATAAAACCAAGCAGAATTACAAGATAAGCTGCTGTGCCCCAGTAAACTGTTCCACTCATTCCTGGTGCTATGCACTGTTCACAATGTGTTCCTAATAATGAGATTCGCATCCAATGGTTAAGTCTTATCATGATATTTCTTTCTTGACTGTGAAGGCTTTTTCAGAATTATTCTGATAGGGATGTATCTTTGACTCCAGGGGGAGGGGGGTGGGGGGGAGATCCCTGTACATATTTTTGTGATGATCAGTCTTTCCTAGCTATGATAATTTTGGAAGAAGTTAACAATCTAGATCAAACTTACTGGATGTTTTGCCTATTTTTAAACTAATGCTTATTGTCTTTAAACTCAAGTAAGGACAGTATGGAGGAAGTTTAAGTATAGGTTTAGTCTTTGTCTCTTTAAACTGTTCCTGATTTTGACTTTTAATGGTTTGGTTTGGAATCTATTAAAATAATTGGGTTTAATAGGTTTTAAAATAGAATTCTAAATTGTGTGTTTAACTAACTTTCATTTTGCAGATGATATATTAATTTGTGGGAAAACACTAGTTTTGTGATTGGGAAAACACTAGTTTTGTGATTGGGATTTTCGCCCGACAATACCTTCATGAGGTTTTCTAGGATATTTTTTTTTGTGTAAATTCACGTGTGCTCATTTTAAGGAGTTTGTAATTTCTCCTCTGTTTTCTTTTCTTTCCTGGTTTATTTCTGCATGAAATTGAGTTATTTAATTAATTGATAGTTGAATGTTTTATAAAAATTGCAGCTTAATTGGAGTCACAGTCAATTTAACAGGTCTGACTCTGTAAATATTTCATACCTTTACCCATCTTACCCATACAGTATGGTCTGTACTACGAATTAAAAAGCCAGGATTCAAACCTGAACAGCTCAGTTTTAGAATTATATTTAATCTTGGTAGAAAAAAAAATTTTTTTAAGTTGTTTACAACAGTTTTATAATGTTTGGAGATAATTTTCCTTTTAAAATCATATATTAACTGTACTTTTTCTTTCAGGCTATAATCTAGCAAGTAATGACTTCAAGCCTTTGCTACTTAGTAACTCCACCCAGGAGCAAAAATTCTTATATTGCACTTATGTTTTGATTTGGTTCTTTTGGTGTTGAATAATGCAATTATGGTTGAAACAACATCTGTTAGAAATTAATATCATTCATGAAGTGCACTTAAAGTGATTCATAATAGGTTAGAAGCCATCTGGAGGAAAATATCTTTAATGCTACATACAGAACTTAACTGGAAAATAATAATTTTTTTGTCTGTCAGTCTTTTGGTATTGACAAAGTTTTTCCTTTTAGGGAAAACAGAAATACTTCACATTCTGTATCTGTTCTGATTAAATTATAGATTTAATAATTTATGACAAATGCTATATAAATGTATATAATATAAATATAGATGTAATAATAGATTTTAAATATAAATAAAACGCAACAGTTGAAAGTTGCCCAGACAGGTTTATATGAGGTCATTAGTGAAATAAGTTTAATACATTCAAATAAAAGTGACTGTTTACGATTATACTTTTTCTTCAGCTTTATTTCAAAATGACAGATGCTCATTTTGGAAGTACTTGTAAATGTTAAGACTTTTAAAATGATACGATAACTGATATAAATATGATGATCTGTACTTTTTCATTTTGTCTATTTGAAATGCAAAATCACCTGCAAACGGAGCTAAAAATTTTATGTCCTGGAAGCGTTTACATCTTACTTCTGTATATTTTTCTAGAGCTTATGTTTAAGAAACATGGAAAAGTTATGGGCATGTTTTCAATAGCAAGCAAATATGGAAATGGTGTTTGAAAGGTCTAGAGTAAATTTTATAGTAATGTTTTTGCATTTGTATTGGTGAATTTCTCACTGTGACTAAAACATAGCTATAAATTCAACATATTTGTTATCATCTGTACTTCAGTACATAACACTTGTGATAAAGAAAAGGTCAGGACTGAAACATTTCATGGCTATTGCACACTAAAATATTCATATTCTTTTCATGATAAGTTACACTGAACATTGATGGAACAGAATTTCTGCACTGCTGTAACAGAAAATAATTCTGCAAAGAAATAACGCATAGACCATGTATATCTTCCATTGTCATTTAATAATTTGTGTTTTGGTTATACTAGTTACTGCTTTGCTGGACTAAATTGAAAATTATTACACATTTGTGTGAATATCTAGCTCATCAGAGTAAAAGTTTGTAGCAAGTCTTGAAGACACAACGTCCTCAGTTTGCATTTTCACTGGATAATCAAATTAAATCCAGAGTTTTGGTAAGATCTCTGATTCTAGCAGACTTGAATATTCACACTGTACTATTTTGGTATAAATAGTTAGGAAAACAGAGCAATAAAATTCAAACAGAAAATGAAATTTGTGAATCATTCAAGCTTTATCTAAAGGAAAATTTCAGGGAGCTGAAACCGTGACAAGTACTGTGGAAAGATAAGGAAAATGTTATAAAAAAACTAAAACAGTGGAATTTAAATGCGTCCTCAACCTATATTATTTTTGATCTATTTTGTCATTCTCCTATAATGTTAAATCTAGGAGTATTAAATTGTCCTTTTTACTTTTTTGTATATTAGTGGCAGCTAGATGTGTTTCATGAGTGTGCACTACTTGGAGAGTCCAGTGATGTTACATAAAAAGTCTTTTCTTGCACATGTCTGAAATTACCTACCGCAATTACAAGAAAAGATTAATATTTTTGCAAGAATCTTATTCTGTTCCTCCTGGAAGTCAAAGGCTAATAGGCTACAACTGAAAGGGATTGTACCTCTAATGCTTTATAGATGTACCAGTTATTTTCAATGTTATCTAGGTTGCTCTTTGACTTATATGCAATAGCTTTTTTCTTCTATGTATCTGAGAGTAAAGAATATCCTATTCAGTCAAGTGTCGTAATGTTTTTTAACATCAGGCAAAGAAAAACAGTATAATATTCCAGGTTTACAAATACATTAACTGACTATTGTTAGTCCAAGGAGTTTGTTTTCTGCAATTTATGTGAATTACATTCATGATTACTTTATTTCTTTGCAGTATTAACAGTTTGTCTCCAAAGCATAGACACCTTTATCAAGTATTGGTGTATGATACTGAATCAAAAATATTTTAAGAAGTGGACACTTACCCGACATCATAAGTGCAATGAGTTCTGCTATTTCCTAGTAATCCTGAAGATCCTAAAGCACTATGGTATAGCTAGCATTTAAGGAATTTCTGAAGAATGACATAACTGTTTAACAGACCTGAAGCGTGGTTTCAAAACTGTCAGAAGTTAATGTTGTGTGGATGAGATATTTTTAATAAAGTAATAATGATTTTTTTCTTTTCTGTTTTGTATGTGATATAGCTTCAATGGCTTTTAGACAACTATGAAACTGCAGAAGGAGTGAGCCTTCCAAGAAGTACCCTTTACAACCATTACTTGCGACACTGTCAGGAACACAAGTTGGATCCAGTCAATGCTGCCTCCTTTGGAAAACTCATACGGTCAATCTTCATGGGATTACGGACCAGGAGACTTGGAACTAGGTTTGTGTTAATGAAATCCTGAACTGTAATAGAAAATACCAGTAAGAAACTTGTCTGCTAGTCAAAAAATAAACAAAACCTGTATTTAAATATTACAGAGCTTTTCTGACAGTTCTGTCTCTTAATGTTAAACAGTTCTATGCTTTTCCAGATGTTGTTATACTTCTACTTCTCCTGTTTTCGACTGTTTATGTGTTTACATTTTGATAAATATACTGCAGATTTTTATCAGTACAAATAAAATGTAGCTTGTTGTTTGGAAATTAGTAGGAATTGTGTTTCTCCATAAATAGGTAAGTTGTATTTATTTGCATTTTATTTTTCTTACTCAAGTGGATTACAAGTTAAAATGCTGGATAAGATTTGTTTAAGAGAGTGAGTTATTTTCCCTAAGGTGGTAAAATGACACCGATATAAAACGGGAATGACAGGAGAGTCAGGCCTGATTTGTGGGTATTATTTTCCAGCCAATGTAAATTGTAAAGTAAATGAAATGTAGATGCATAAAACTAGTGTTACTGTTCTTTTAATTCTTGCTCTTTCATAAAGGGGGAACTCCAAATATCATTACTATGGGATTCGTGTCAAGCCAGACTCTCCTCTTAATCGACTACAAGAGGACATGCAATACATGGCTATGAGACAACAGCCCATGCAGCAGAAACAGAGGTAAAGTGTGAAATGAACATGAGTACTTATTAATATTTCCAGTTCATAAAGCCTTACTTTTCCTTACATGAAAAAGTTGAAATTCTAATGCAACTTCTGTTCAGCTTCTCTGCTGTGAAAAATAAAATTCACTAGATATCCAGTTGATGTCACTGAAGTTGGGTATCAGCCAAAATGAAAGAATGTTTACCTAGAAATTGTCATAAATTTGCAATAATAATAAAGTGAGATATGATATGAACAGACTCTTCTTAACTATCTTGAGTTCTTATCGCATAAGCTGAAGAAAAGCAGTAAGAGCTTGAATTTCAGATTTTGCTGTTTGTTTTCATTACTATATCATTTTACATATAAGCTGCTTGTAAGAAAGCTTATGATTAAGCTCAGGTTGGTGTATATTTCCTCTCCCTGCAAAGAATTAATATGACCATAATGGTTTGCCTGTAAGTTGATTTAAGTATTTTCCCTCAGCATCTGTTGTTCCTGAGGATCCTGTGGAAGCTCAGAAGTATTTGAAAGCAGTGGCACAGTGACCACAAAGGTCTATGCTGGTGGTGAAAGAATGTGTGACTATGCACGTGAAAAACTATCTTGAACAGAAAATTTTAGGAAAAAAAATGGAAATCAGTACATTTCTTTGAAATTAATTTTTGTTTGACTGATGTCAGTAACCTCCCATATTACCCTAAAGTGAAAAATCTAAGATGTGTAATTTCATGAAACTCATAGGCAGAACAGCAGCATATCAAGCAAGACATCTTTAGAGCTATTACCCGCAGCAAATCCAATTGAATGATCAGTTTGGCATAGTGTACTAAGCATATTTTGTGGCCTTGGACACAATTGGGATATGGAAAACACAACTTCAAACTTTAACTTCAAACACAGATATCACTTCAATCTGAAATAATTTTACTATCACTTCCAGAAGTAATTCCAGCACTAAATACATATTCATGGTAAGATATATGATCTTAACTATCTTGTACTGGGCATAATACGGAAGTATGAGATGTCTCCCAATATGATCATGTAGGAAATTCTTGTTACAAAAATCATTGCAGGATTATATGGTAGGAAAAGGTGATAGATACTTACAAAACCTCCAAACAAGCTTATTTTACCCAGTGAAGCTCATTCACTTACAGATTTCATTCACTCGCACTCAAAATCACGTGTATGCACCAAGACATATGCCCCAATGGTCTAACTAGAATTGTTTCTATGAAATTGTTTCTGGAGAAGTTATGCCAGTTATCTAATCATCATCACCTCTCTTGTCGTCATCTTGATTCATAAGACAAAGTGATTTTGAACTTGGATTATATAACTCTTAGGAGTGGATACTACTTTTCTTTTATTATTTGCTTTATTATTTTGTTTAACACCACCGTATGTCTTATGTAGTTCCCTTATTTTCCTTACCTAGGTATGTTTGGTGGCATTTTCTTAACACTGTCTTTATATCAGTTTGTTCCCTGATTATATTTGAATGAAATCACACATATGGCATTGTGCAGCAGTTAGTGCATACCTTTCCTTTAACCCATGTTTTGCACGTGCACACACATACACGCACAGGCACACTCCCATTCATACTCAATTCATACCAATCTTAAGCTCTGCTGCGAGAATCTGTAAAGATACTGACAAAGGATGGGAACTACAAGGCACTGGATAATTATGCTGAATAGGTAGCTGTTACATGAAAAATACTGTGCTGTAGTAGAAAAGTTGGTTATGCATTATCTTCAGTTGAGGCTAGCAATAAGACAGAGGAGAAAAGGAAAGGGAGAGAAGTGGAAGCCTCTATAACCTGTCTGCAATACTGACTGCAGAAAAGACCACCATGTTATTATCTCTTAATAAGAACAATGGCTTTGTTATTAAATCCTTAATAGCAGCTGTTCCAATATTCCTTCCTAGATGAAGCTTTATCTCTTTGCTCAGGAACTTGCATTACTTACCTTCTTGTCTTTTAAGACAAAAGACAGGCTGATCTCTTTACATTCTTGAAATCTTGCGATGTCCAATTAGGTACGCTAGAAATCGAAGCATTGTTCACATAGTCCTACTGGTGTACTATTCATATAAAGTAGTTCTGAGGATCTTTGTCCATCCCTTAGTTCAGGGTACATAGATCTCAGTAAAATATTTTCTGTCTTTCCAAAATCCCAGCATCCTAAATAAATAAAATGCAGAGATGAAGGAGCTAGCCAGACTTTGACAATTGCACTGTGAAAAATGTATATTGCCTCTGCTCATATCATCAAACATACAAGCAATACTGAATAGGATAGAGAAATTTTCGGAATGAAGATGTTTATCCAACAAAATACAGGAAATTTTCATTGAAAAATGGAAACTCATGAGCCACTATTACTTTAACTTATTCATACTTATCTAAACCAGAAAACTGCAAAATTTTCTAATAGAAACAGGGATTTTTTAAAGCCAAGTGTGATGATTCCAGAACATTTTTGTCTCATTGGAATGTGCTGATTATGATAGTCATTTTAGAAAAAGATTTAACAAATATATTAAATTATTCCACAATCTAGCCTGTTTACTTCATTACAGCCACTCTCTAGCATGCAGCAATCATGAGCTTTGGTACATTCCTCTCTCTCTTTGTAGCCTTACTTTCTAATTTTAGGGTAGTCTTTGGTTATACAATGTCAAGCTTTATTTCACATTCTTGAAATAAAAACGTCTGTATATTTTTCTTGATTAATTTTAATGGAAACTGAGATACGCTTGTGTTTTGTAGCCCTCAGGTTTTGGGGGAAAAAAGAAATGCTAAATATAAAAATGGCTTGACTTAAAACTTTCAGTGCACAATTTAAAAAGTGAACTTGTGTTTTTGAAGTAAGATTTCTTCCACATTTACAGAACATGCTTAGTATCTAATTTCAATGTTTGATATATGTCTGTATGTATTTTTATCATAGTTGTCCTAGTGTATTGAAGAATTCTAGCAGGATTTATTAAGACATAACTAAAGGACTTAATATTATAATTTGCATGATTAGGGTAACATCGCTCTTTCTCCAGCTTTATTAATATTTCTAATGTTTCTTTTGTCCTTTAAATCAGTGGTAAATTGCAGTCAATATACTTTTCCTGTGAAGTTATACCAATTCTACCACCTCTGTCGGACCCGTCTAATTGGATAAACACTTCTAGCCCTTTTTGGCAAAGACTGTAGACTGAATGTATGCTACAGATCATTTTTCTTTGTTCCTTTTCTTAATTTGAGGGTCATACACCTTTTCTATTTGCATAACTTGAATATCCCAAAGTGCTCTTGTATGTTCATGTTCAGAGTTTGTTCTGGGCTTGAATTCAAGGGTCTGAGATTTATCAGACATAAATTTCAGATGGAAGGTAATGCTGTTAGTTGCGTAGTCTTGGTTGTGATCAGCGTGAGCTGTGGGAGTACTCTTTCTTTGTTCTAGTAAGAAGAAAAAACAGAGTAACTACAGATCACAGAAGCTAACAGTCCTATCTTCCAGCTGAGACAGTGGTTTGGCGACAACAACCACATATCAAGAGACTTAAAGCACCTTTGAACTGAAGAAATGCACAGTTAACGACTAGTCTTGGCTGGAGGATAATAGCTAACACCCTGCCTTTGAGCTGGACCTGCTGTATGGCTAAGACTTGCAAGGGAAGGCCTGGCTTGCCTCTGTCATCCTGCTCCTAGATGTTTTCCAGGGTAGGAGAAAACAGGATATTTAAACGGTTATATTATCCGTCAGTCTGGATCAAATACAGGCCTGACTAACAGTGAATGGACATCAGACAAAGACTGTTAGTGAGAAATAAAGTAATATCCAACCCAAATATTATGCCAAATATATTTGCACAGTTTTAAGTCTGACACTAAACACTTGCCACTTGAAAGTACAATCTTGTTATGAAATCTCTTTCCCATAAGCATTCCTTGTCGGACCATTTAAGGGAAATATATCAGAGATACAATTTCTGAAGTCAGGTTCCATTTTTAGCCTGATTTTATTTAGCTCTTCATGAGTAGAAGTTTGTGGCTCAGAAGCTAAATTATCTTTATGGCTTAGTCTAGGGAAATTGATACAGGTATGCTTGTCTTTTCTTTAGGGCATTCATAACAATGTAAGTTTTAAATTCTATTTCCAGAAGTAAACCTCCAGCTTTCCAAATTAATTTCAAATATATCTTTCAGTTCTTACACACAATGATTGTATCTTTTTGCTTTCATTTATGGGAGCTGAACATTCAGCTAAGATTTTTTTTTTTAATAAATACAATAACTGTATTGTTACCTACTGTACATTATATCATTCAGCTAACACATATATTGTTGTTCTAACCAGAAATCATTAATCACTACTTCCTATAGATGTTGTTTACCTTATGTATTTATTTTATGTAGAAAATAATCTGTATTTTTCTATTGTTCTCTTTCCTGTATTCTATGTTTCCTGGATATACTGTTCAGTCAAACATACCTTTAAACGCGAGCCACTGTGAGTCCAAAGCATCGAGTATTTATAGATCTTTTTAAAAGGGGTTTGGGTTTGTGGACAACAGAGAAATTACGCATTTTTATAGTGGTATTCTTTTTGAAGATAGAGAGCAAGGTATCATAGTCCAACAAATACTGACATCTGTAAAACTGGGCTACAAGTTTGTTAAGATACAATATCCTAAAATGATAATAAAAGAACTTATATGATAAACTACTAAACAACTTCCTAATGGAGTAGTTCAGAAAAAAAATCACAGTCTTTCTCTTAAACAAGCACAGACGTCTTGTGTGTAGTATGATTGTGGCCTACAAAACTAGGAAGTTCTGCTTAAGCTTCTAGATTAGACATATCTCAACAATGCTTATTGGATTGAGGAGAGATGTTTTAAAAGCACACACATGAAAATTGCATTCCTTAAATTTCTTTATAGTTTTACTGTATTTGATTTCAGATAACCATGCTTTTATTGAAATATAGCCTCTGCATTATTTTTGAGGCTTTATGATATATGCAGAACAGTATACTTGGAAGTGTTTTTATTTTCTTCAAACACTAGAAAGCAGCTAGTACAAACTTGATCTACACACCAAAACTTTCTGAATGCATCCAAATGCTTCTCAGGTATTTCTTTGTTACTTGAAGGTTTTGCATCTTCAATAATTTTTTAAAGCATTTGAGTTTCTTCAATTTTCCTATAGTTAACAGTTTTAGTATGTGTTGCCTGTGGTGTTCCAAGCTGTTTGAATCAACTTTTGCTTTCTGTTAATTTTAAAAGCTGATTTTTTTTCCCCCCTACTAGCATCAATAGCAACATTTTATTTGCATACAGTAGTAAAATGCTTTAACATACTTTACACATTGTTATGCATAAGGTCACCGTTTTGTTACATAGTTTGGTACATTAGCACAATTCTTACAGATGTCAGTGAACTCCTAGTGATGAATCACAATAATAAATCTAACATAAAAATAAAATAGAAGTGAATACTTAGAGCTTAGTTCTGTTCCTTTGAGAACCCCTACAGTTTGTTTTTTAGCAAGCCAGAAGGATAGAAACCTTAGTTTTTAAGAAAAAGAGAGAATATTATAAATTGCATAACAGCATGAGTTGGATTTTTCAGAAAATACTAAATTCTAAGACTTAGAGTAAAATCCAAATAGTGGCAGCATGGCAGCAGTACAAGCAAACAACAAAATCTGCAGAAAATTTAACTGAAAAAGCTGCTGGTTTTTGTCTGTCTTGTGACTTAGTCAAGCCATTTTGGCTTTTCATATTTTTGATAGTTTTCAGCTTGTTTCTTTTCCCTACCAATTTCATATGTGTATTTCAAACCAAGCAGGCATTTTATTGTACTTCCCCTTCCTGCTTTATCTTATTAATGAATATGGATTGTTTGCTGCACGTGAGTTTTAGTCACAAAGTTATTAATCTGTTCTGCACTGAGAGAGGAAGTTTCTGTTAATGTTAGGTCATGGTTAGACTATGGAAGTCAATGAAGTTGCATTCTAAATTAACTGCAAAGTGAGACCAGCGTATCATTCAGTGTCATTTCTGAATTACCTGATTCCATGTTCTGATTTCAGTGCTTTAGAGTTTTTTTTTCATTCCATAGCTTTGCACAAATTGGGAAGATGTCTGTTGTTAACTAAAGACTTTATAAACTTTTACTGTGTTTATGCTAACCTATATAAAATTCAGATGGTGTCCTTTCTGGGTCAAGTATCATTAGAAAGCTGTAATATTCATGTAAGGTCAGTTATGATTTTCTGCTCTCAGTCTCCTAGCACCTAGTAATTTAAAAGAAAAGGGTGAAAGATGAAATAAGGTATAGGTTAGTAGTGAGTAAAATAGGGAAATAGAGTAAAAGTCTGGATAATCTTAGAAAATGTAACTCTTACCAGTTAGGAAATTGTAACTATTTTTTCCGTGCACCAAAAATGGCTCGAATTTAACAAAAGAATTCTGGAGAGCTGTTTGATGTCTAAACTGCCAAAGCTCTACTTGTACATAAAAGACAGCAGATCTAAAATTGTTAACCACTGGCTGCTTATGTTTCATCTGAAGCTCCTAAAACATTTTTTTTTCTTTTTTTCATTCTTTGGTTTAATTTTGCAAATGATTTTCTAATGTTGTTGAAATTGATTAACTCCTTTGAGTTACCTGTCACAATGGCAGAATTAAGAATTTTGCCCGGCGCATTTTATATAGTGGCGTAAGTAGGTGGATAATCCTGATTACTCACAGCAAAAGATTAAGTTGGCTTTTATACTTCAATTAAAAGTTTTTTTGCATAACTGAAAAACTCTTAGAGGAGTGTTATTTTTATGTATTCAAAACATTTTGAATTCTATTTCAGGAGCTGAAGGGTCAGTAAAATAATATATTTAGCAGAAAGTAATGGAACTATCTTAAAACACAGGTTTAGATTAACAAATATTTCCAGAAGTTGATCTTCTGCCTGGTATTTGTAATTATAATGTATAATGAGAGAGAAGTTAAGAATTCTTCCCAGATGAACTGCCTGGATTGCAGGTAGATTTATCAAGAAATAACAAGCTCATCAAGAAGAGTTCAGTGGTACCATGATACCAGAGATGAAATTTTATTCTTTAATAAGTTTATTAGAGTTTCACTATTGTATTCAGCAGGCATAGGATTTTACACTGGACCATTACAGAAAGTGAAACTTGATATAAATGTCCTAGAGATAGGTTAGGTATAGGTATCTTCTTTTTTCCCAAGCATTGAAATTCCTAAAGTTATAAAACTATTTGTTAATCAGGCCAGGAGTCTTTCTGTTGAAAAATGTATTTTCTGTCTGTCTTTTGTTATTGTATATTTAGATTCATGTCAGGAGTGCCTAGAGTATTGAACAGATGTTTTTCATGGGAACTCCCTTTTAAAGTAAAATCTCAGTAATTACATGAGACAATGCTGGTTTATGTTTACTGGAAACAAAATGAAATGTTCCCAACTGATTAAACTGCTTCTTCAAATAATGCATCGAGAGTGGAATTTGTCACATTTCTGAAGTTAGCATGGAGTTTTACAGTCTGCACAGCAATTCCAATTGGAGTGATCATTAAAACATACTTTATTTAGCTTTGGGTTTCTCTTATTTTCTTTTCCAGTAGCTAAAATTCTTTTTCAGAAGTGCAAAGCATCCAAGATGTTAACATTAAAATCTGGGACAGAGTAAATTCTCAGTTGTGTTGGAAGTGACAGGCATGATCTTCAGCCTGTCAGACTGATTGTCAAGACAACACTTGACCATCCAAACTAGCATTCCCATTTGTATCATTGTGATTTTTGTCCTTTATAAAAGATTCTGAGAATTGACTAGTGAAGAGTTTAGGTTTCCAAGTAGCTTTCTCAGGCCTTCTATGCTTATGAGAGAAGTTTGTTGGATTTGAAAAGTCTTTCGCTGTCCTCAGACAGTAGTGTTATTTTTTCTTATGGTAATGAAACATTATTTTTGGATTACATAATTATTGGGAAGTCAAGCTATTTGGAAAGGGACAGATTTGATTCCTTTTGGTGTATATTAGCTGGTCTTACGGTATGCTGTTCCTAAGCTAAATTCCACAAGAAATTGGTACTGGTGCTGTAATATCACCTTTATGAATTCCGTAATGCATTGTTAATGCTCTAGCTTCCCTTAGTAATGGTTTCTTCTGTTATTTACAAAATAAATAAAAATGTAAATTCTTTTGTTACTTTTCCTCAAATTTTTATTTTGAGATGGAGAAATCAGAGCAAACATAGATTGTATGATCTTATTTATGAAGAAGTGAACAGAAAGGATAATTTTGTACTTGATATTTTTGTAGGTATAAGCCTATGCAGAAAGTGGATGGAGTTGCAGATGGCTTCACGGGAAGTGGTCAACAGACAGGCACATCTGTTGAACAAACTGTGATTGCCCAAAGTCAACATCATCAACAGTTTTTAGGTAAGAAAGCAGGTTTTACACTGCTGTATAAATAAGTAAGATGAACGTCATTATCACTGTGAATATCAAGTCACTCAAGTACAGTAGTTGCTTCTAAAGTTATTATGCCCTCTTTAAAATTCTTACAACAGAACAAAAAGGCATTTAAATTACATGTGAGCTGTGTTGTGAGCTTTATGTAATATTTAATATGCATCATATAAGTATAAAAGGAAAAAATACGCCAATTCTGTATTTGTGTGATATATTTAATATTATATAAATCACAATGCAGTTGCTGTGCGAAGTTATGTTAGACATACATATTGAAATTCCTGCGATTAAAGTTGTTCCCTGCATGTGCATTACAGTGCATTTTATTTCATAAAAGGGTGGTGGTGGCGTTGCATTACTGTTGCAGGTTAGCCTTCCAGAGGGCTGTTTTGAAAGTGTGCTGTAGTGTTATAAGTGGAAAGAGCCTAATAGTTTCAACCGGAACCCCAAAGTTCATGTTTAAAAATGTCCAATTTGTGGATTCATTGATCCAGCTAAGCATGTATTCTCAGTAATGGAAACAAATGGTAATTTAGTTATTTGTTTATGCAGAAAGACTCTTTGGCTGTGTTATTGCAAAAGGTGTAGGCTTATTTGGTTGGGATTTTCAAGCACCAAATCTTTTGGCCTAAATTCGCTGTTACTGAAATCATTGGGAGCATAAGGGTAGCATTAAAATGTTTTGAATCTTCCTTTCCAGGTACCTTTCAGTCCAGCATTTTTCTCTTATATCAGCTTGTCTCTTGGAAACATTTGTGACAAATAGTAAAAGCACACATTGGCTCTACATGAAAGTCTACTAAATTTCAAATAAAAATGTATATTGAGTCTACTAAGCCCCATCATACCTGGCTACATAGAAACTCTTCAGTTGAACAGGAAAAAAACTATTCAAGGATTAATCTTTCATACACTGACATAGATATTTTCCTTCATCCTGTCATACTCTGAAAACGTGTGTGTTAGCTTTTCTGTATAGGTGTAGTATGTACATGACATCTTTTTAATGTCTTCAAGAATGATTTTATATTTTGTTTTGATCTAAAAATGCTGGCTGAATTTGTTTACAATTTTAACATATGACAGGTATGAAAGACTTTTTTCTCTTTGAATATTATGACCTTTTAGAATTTATTTCTTTGTATCATCCTTAAATTTTTTCTTAATCATACTGTAACTGGCACTGTTCACAATAGCCCTCTTTCATTATGTTGTCATGGAAACAGATGCATCTCGAGTACTTCCAGAGTTTGGAGAAGTTGAAATATCTTCTCTACCAGATGGTACTACCTTTGAGGACATCAAATCACTGCAGAGTCTTTATCGAGAGCACTGTGAGGTATTTCCTATAAACCGTTTATTTTTTAAAGTTCATGACTTCTAGTGAAGGTCAGTACAAGACAGTAATGCCAAATATATTGCAACCATGTTAGTGGTATGTGACTTTCCCCCAGGGTATTTTGCTTATTTCATTGGAAAGGACTTTAGTAAAACAGTTTTTCTGGAGGGTGCCCTTTACAGGGGAAAAAAGTAATATATAATAGACACTGAGAATGAAATGTAGTTACATGTATGTTTTCAGAATGTTAGAGAAACTAGACTTCAGATTGTACGTGCAGATCTTTGGTTTAGTCAATAGGAAATGTAAATCAGGTTAAATTATAATTTTTTTTTTTTTACATTAAAAGCAGTAACTTTTTTCTCATTTTAAAGAAACATTGAGACGTTTAAGCCACATTTGATACTGAACAATGTCTTTTAAAATTATTTTTGAAGGTGCTTTCAAACCTATACTGAATTATGAAAATTAATAAAGTGGCAGGTTTCCTTTGTGTTTGCAGTACTGTTAAATATTTTCTTTGGGTGAATTCCTCTGATATGTTTACATAGGCCATGCTCATTTCTGGAGGCTTCCACACATGTGCACTTGACTTCACTCAAGTCTCTGTGCACACTAGTTTATAGTGCTGGATAATTTATGGATATCAAAGCTATTAAAACAGATACTATTTATAACTTGAGAAATATACAGTTTGCCTTTGCTCTACTACGTGATGAAGGAAAAAAAGCTATAGATCGAGTTGGAGCTTGGAGTGGTGGGAAGCTGAGTAGAAGACAATCTGTACTTGTGTTTTATTTTCTCAGGCAATACTGGATGTGGTTGTGAATCTTCAATTCAGCCTGATAGAAAAATTGTGGCAAACTTTCTGGCGCTATTCTCCCTCTGCTCCACCTGATGGCACTACTATTACTGAACCAAGGTCAGTAAAAGTTTCTCTTCCTTTACTCCTTCTCCTGATAATATAATACAGGTGTCAAATAAAAAAAATCTTACTGGTTTTACCTGCTGAGTAATAATTTTTTTCATATGATAATTTTTCAAATTAAATTTATGTTGTCTGGCATTTCTGTATAGGCTGGGTGTATGCCAATGTGCAGTCTTGAAACGATTGTGTCGACCATTTTTTTTCTTTGCTTGGGCAACTACAGTAAAGGTGTCTTTTCCCAGTATTCTATCCAGTTCTTTTAAGCCAAAAGCATCGTTCATACCTCTGCATAATTTATGAGCTGTAGCAGAGCTATGGAGGCATTTTTAAAATCCATTTCCTTGTGACACAATGTGTAAAGAAGTTCTGTTGGTTGTAGTTGAGACATCTATGACATCTTTATAAAAGAATACATTTTAACACCCATTGCAGGTTTTTACCTGCTGTAAATGCATTACCATTTATTTGTTTGCTACGTTTTTTCACACCAGCAATCTGAGTGAAATAGAAAGTCGACTTCCAAAAGCAAAGCTGATTACTCTGTGCAAGAATGAGTCTATTCTAAAATGGATGTGTAACTGTGACCATGTGATGTACCAGGCTTTGGTGGAGATTCTCATTCCTGACGTCCTTAGACCTATTCCTAGTAAGTGAACACCTGAAATATTTTGTAAAGATTTTTGTGTATGCCTGCCTGTGGTGGTGGTGGTGGTCTTGTGCCTCACAGGACAGCTTTAGGAATAAGTTTGAAAGTTAAGAAAGTATTGTGTGTCATTTATCCTTAATTTTGTTGTGTAGGAAGTTGTGCTGAGAGTTGATGTATGCTTGGTATTTTAAAAGTAACTGAGGATTTTAGTACAGTTGGAAGATCTAGTTTTCAAGATATAGTTTCATATTAAAGGTACTTCTTTCTCCATGTGTTATGTTTTCAGACAAAAATGTTTTCCTTTTACCCTGGCTCTAGACTACCTGATAGACTTAGACATAAGTCCTGTGGCCTTAAGCCAATGTGCACTAATGTCAGTCAGTCCTTGCACTAAATTCAGTAGGTTTTATTTTAAACATTACATATTAATCTTTGATCAGTCTGCAAAAAAATGTATATGATCTTTGTGATTCCATTTCTGGACAGTTAGTCTTTTGTTCCTTATCAGTGGCTGCTGAAATCAATTTTAATGTCTGTTAAGGCAATGAAAAATTAACTCAGAAATTTTTAGTCCAATTTATTATTCCAGTCTACTGTTCTTTCTGTCATGCCTCCTGCATGAAAGAGTCAGTAACTGTTGGGCCATTCAACCATTACGAGGAGTGCAGCTTTCTTTTCAAAGTTAATTTTACTAAAATCCATTGTTGCTTGAGCAGTGTATTTTTATGGCTATTTTTGGTAGAAAATGAATTTATGTGAAGAAAGTTGAACTCCTTTATAAAGCATTTATTGTCTCGCATATGCTGTGCTAAATATTATAAAGAAATCACGTTAGCAACCCACTATAAATGTCGTAACTCCGACATACTATATCCTTTCCATGAAAAAACAGTAGTCACTTCATAAAGTTGGATTAATATTTTTAAAAAAGTTAGGGCCTTAAGTAGGTTTGCAGCTAACAAAGCTATTTTGTCATGCTGTGAACACCTCTTCTGCTATAGTGACTCCAGTAGTAATAAGCACTCCGTAAGAATATTTGCAGGTAATGCCTTGCAGAAAAGTTTTATTGACTTTTTGCTTGTCAGTGAAATAAAATTAGGTTTCAGTAAATTATGTATGATACAAAAATAAATTTGGAACTGGAAATGTATAAAATCTGAAGGTTGGCCTTTTACAAAGGCAGTTTTACTTTTTTTTAAGGAAAGAGTAAGTTCTTGGTAGAGATTGACATAATTTATCTTTTCATCTCTGTAGCAGAATAAAGGAAAAATGCTTTACTCAAATACATGCAATTATTGACAACCATTACTTGTATAAATTATTCTGCATTGGTTTATATTTTATGTTTTACTTTTCTATCTAGTGACAATGCAAGTAGGTAGGTTATTAATTTTGGAGTAATATACCCTATCACAAGCAAATAGGCAATGATAACCCTCCCCCCGCCCCCCCAATTTAATTACAACATTTAATAGGTTTAATTAAAACTCTCTCTTCCAAAAGCATATTATTTTCTAAATAAAAAGGTGGTGCAGACATGGTTTTTCATCAAACCTGCTTTTTGCCTTGCTTTTCACTTGCTTCTCCTGCGCAGCCTGGCAGTCTCTAAAGAAGTTTTTATATGATAGCTCCTGAGCTTGTGGTGTCTTCCTGCTTTGTTTCATAAGATGCATTGGGCGTTGCCAGTACAGGGTTTCAAGAAAATGTGACACAATCATTTAATATCAATAACTACAGGCATCAGATCCTTTTCATGCTATTTCTATCTAGAATTACCAATCATATGTGAATAATTGATACCTACTGTGTTTGACATTCCTGTTTTGGGAATGATTATCAGACTTCTTGATGCAAAAACATCATCTGATCCCAGGACAAATTCATCCCAAGAGATTTCGGCCTCTATTTTGTGAACAGTCCAGTGGTCTTCTGCTCAGAAGTCCACCCACTGAGCTACCTTTGGAAGACAGATAATGTATTTTCTTATTTTTATCTTTAGGACCAGCTAACTAAATGGCTTTTTCTAGTCAGCTTTCCTGTAATGATGGTCCATACAAGTTCTCTCTTCACTGTGAAATATTTAAAATATTAGTTTTTTAACTCCTGCTTTTGAATTAAAATATCTCCAGCCATTACAAGAGACCAAGAGAAAGGCTTAAGGTTGTGCTTAATGGTTGACTATGACAATAATGGACCTAGGTGAAGTAGACAAATTCATCATCTTCTGTGGGAAAATAGCAGTTTATAGGAAAGTTTGGACTCTGTAGAGGAAAGGGGGCTGTAAATGCTTCATCAAAGGCATGTTTATGATTTTTTTTTTCCTGAATAAATGGAAAGATATTGACAGCAGCTACTCAAAATAGGAAAAAATATTAATTTGGAAAGTGCTTCAAGTAAGCATATGGGTTTTTAAGGTTTTTTTTTTTTCATGTCTAGATTTTCAGTGGTTTTCTTTTAGAAAAGTCTTACTGTGCTACTCAGCTGTGTGATACACGTTACTGGAGTAGAAAAAAATATTACCATTGAGGAAAAAATTGTTTTATTTTTAACCTCTACATTAAATTTGCTGGCCGAAATGTTTAACACCCACAGAATGAATGAAGAATTGCTGTATATAAAACAGCAAAATTCCTTTTCCTAAGAAAAGTGAAATGCTGTCCATTTGAGTCAGGAATAAAGACCATAATTATCTTTGGCAATAGACCAGAGCTATTATGTTTTAGAATGGACTTTTTGCATCTTTGCAAGTAACAGAATGGACAGTAACAAACTTGCCTGTGAGTTAGTTTCTATCATAGGTGGAGAATTTGTGCTAAACATATTTCCACACCATATTACACAATTCCAGGCAGACAAAAAATTAAAGTACTGGTAAGAGTGTAAAGCCTTGTTTTTATGAGATTTGCATGTCAGAGGGTTTTCAGCTGGAGACTCAGGCTTTTTAGGTACTTACTCAAATCAAACTTTCCATCGGTAACTGCCATTGCAACATCATTTACTATGTGTCTAGTAACATTTAACTATCTCAGGCCATTTACTTTGCACCATACTCACCATGTGATTCTCTGGAAGGGTTTTCTTGTTTTTCTATGATAGTCAGACAAACTTAAAAGAAGGCTTTAAGGATATAGGCACTTAAGGTTTTGGTAATGGCTAGATGTGTACTTAAGGAAGGAGTATGAGAAAAATTCTGTATTTAATATGGTATCTCCAAAGCTCATTAGAAATTCATGGTTGTTCTATACAATATTGATGCCTGATTATCTACTTTAGCTATTTCATTTGTTTAGAACTTAGAATGCCTTTCATTTGCTCCTCTTTCTTCCTTCCGCTCTTAAGGCCTGAGCTGCTTTTCCGTATTTTTTTTTAAAGGAGATCAGCATTACAGTCATGCAAATAATTTTGTAATATATAGTTGGGTGAAAAAGAGTAATAAGCGAATTAGAATTGAAAAAGCAGTAGTATTTTTCTTTAAGTGTCTAAGTATCGTTCATACGGTATTTACATAATTCCTTGCACTTTGCATTTTCTTGTTCTATAGGTAAGAAAATGTGAGTCAATACATAGTTAATTAGTAAGTGCACAGAAATAATTTATAAAGCAGCACAAATGAGCTAGGTGATTGACAGGATTGAAGAAAAAAGCTTGTTCTTCATGTGGAAACCTCAAGAGAGGAAAAAAAAACCTGTTACCATAGAGTGTTCAGCTAATACAGATATTTTGTAAGATCAAATTGTGTTCAGCTAGGCATCCAAATGTGTGGTCAGTTATACAAATTACTGATATGGATTCTGCAGCTTATCACTGCAAATTTGAAGACGTGAAAAAGATGTCATGAAGAATACACTTTTTCTTTTAGTAGATTTACTTTGCTAGTAGAAAGCTTTATTAAAAAAGGGATCTTCAATAATTCAAACGGTAAAAGAGCATTTCTCAAAGACAAGTTCTAACAGCATTAATTTCTTACTCTACCAGAGTATTCAGCCTTATAAACAGAATCCAGTCAGTCTTTACTTGGACTGTTTCTCCTTACATGTAGCTAAAGTAGTTTGAAAATAAATATTATTTCCTCCTTCTAGTTTTTTCCTCTTCACTTTTGTAGTTGCATTCATTCTCTACTAGTCTTTAGAAACCTGTAGTTTTTTCTTTTTGTCTCCTCCTTTTTGCAGCTGTTTGAGTGGATGCTATTATGTCAATGAGCAAGTGGTAGGTATGGGGAAGTGAGGTTTCTACTACTCAGGAGATACAATTATCTTTTCTCCAGGTGCAGTTCATTGGGAAAATACTTCCTGTCCTCCTCCTTTGAAAAATTAAAACTTATATTTTGAGTAGTACAGATTGCTGTAAGGGCTTCTTCAATTTCTCTCTAAATCTGTCAGCCACTCAGCAGTTCTGTGGGTGCTATAGTAAAGAAACAAAAGTGCACACAGATCCCACAGCCATTTGAATAATCTCACTTTCTCTCAGTGAAACACGCTCCTATATCTTGCTTATTGATGATATCTTTAAGCTCTGCATGTTGGATTTTGTTCTTTAAAACTGAAGTAAGCAGCACCATGACATGGCTTAAGGTTACTTTGGCCTTATTTGAAGAAACTGTGGTACTCCAATAACTGGATTTTTTTCCAGAGTTTTGGTCTTTAAAAGAGGTGCTTAGATGAAATGGAAAGCTGAAAGTTTGTGATGGAAATTTCTATCACAACTGCTGAAATTACTGATGTTCTTCTATAGGAGTGCTCAAAACAATACTACTGGTCACAAACTTCTTGAAAGATTGTTAGGTGAGGAAGTCGGAACCGCTTATTTTAAACCAAAACTAAAATCATGATTGCATAATCTATATCTGAATGAGGCATTTTGAACTTAGACTGGATTTGTCTTTTAGTAAGTAAAAGCAGCGGACCTGAACGTTGAGTACGTAAGTACTGAGGATGCAAAACATTTCAAGACAGGTACAGTGCTTTCTTTTCATTCTGTTTTTATTCTTTAACGCACAGGTGCCTTGACCCAAGCCATTCGCAATTTTGCAAAAAGCCTTGAAGGTTGGCTTTCAAATGCCATGAACAATATTCCACAGAGGATGATACAAACCAAGGTAGACAAAACTGTTGCAGTATTATTCTTGCAATGGCAAACCAAGTGGGCAGTAGTATCTAAAAGCAGTAACATTTTAACTTTAATGGTAAATTTCCTGTTTAGCATCAAGCATCAAATAATGGGAGAGGAAATAACTTAGTTTTGTCAAAAAAACATAAGAAAGAAATTATTTGATGTGCTACATGGACATAATTCACATATGAGGACTCTTTAATATAGAATATTAAAATGAAGGTAAAGACTCAATCTGTAGAATTAATATACAAATAGAGAGTACAATATTTTAAAATAAATAAATTTCCTCATAGGTTGCCGCTGTAAGTGCCTTTGCCCAGACTCTGCGAAGATACACATCTCTTAATCACCTGGCTCAAGCAGCTCGTGCTGTGCTTCAAAATACTTCTCAAATCAACCAGATGCTCAATGATCTTAACCGTGTTGATTTTGCCAATGTTCAGGTAAAATGCAGCTTTTAATAACAGGCTTCTTTTAAAAAAAAAAAAAAGTGTTATTTCCTCTATGACTTTGAACTTTGTTAGCTGTTATTATCAAGAAGGTGAAGTGAGAACATTTTGCTGATTCATATATGCAGTGATTCAGCCCAAACGTGACAGCTTACACTTTAGGAAAGTAAGAGCTCAGAATCAATATCTGTTTCCATTTACTGTCTTGAAATGCACATATTCTTCCAACTTCTAAGCAAATGTAGAGCAAATACATTCTTAGAATACCATGAATGATGTCTTAGTAGTAGCATAAATGATATCTTAGAATTAGATCTCAGGTAGTAGCATAGCTTCTGAATGTCTCTAAAAGCTATTAAATGCACAACATTGTTTTTAGTAGAGACTGTTTTGTTATTTCAAAGACAATGCCATTAGTATACTTTATGTAAGTGCCTATGTTTACATTTACAAGATCTCCTGAGTAATTGATTAGATTAGTACAGACTAGAACTAGTTTCCAGTTAGCTATAGAATATAAATTTATATTTTCACTAAGCTTAATTTCTCCACCTGTTTCTGCTCCTCTGAGGAAAAGTATTTTTTTCCTTTTGCCCAACAAAGTGAAATGTTCCAGATTACTGGTAGTTCTATGTTTGTCTCTTTTCCCTGTGAACGAGTGTTTTAATGTATTTGTTAATAATCTTAACAAAAGTCAGTCAAGAGTACTTGACCAAAGATACAATACGTTAACATGAATAGAGAGTCTGTGAATGAGGTGTTAACTCGGCACATGATAGCTAGAGTTTAAGGACATGGCTTGCAGTTAGTGAGTCTTCATTTTTGTCTCTTAGTTTCTGAATTGACCCGCTAGCCTTATTTAAACTTGATAACACTCACTAAATTGCTTATTATTGTATGCAGAGTGTGTTTCTCCATTTGCGTGCAGTTTATGTTGTACTTTAAGTAATGTAATCTATTACTGCCTATAGTCAGCAAACAAAACAATCCTTATTTACACACAAAACTTTCTTTTATAAGATAACAGAAATTGTCTTTACGCTTAACTTCTTCAGAACGAAAGGAACCTTGCACTTGATTTCTTGCTGCTACTTTTATTACCTTAGCCCCCCATTTAACTGTTCTTCCTGCTTGCTGTGCCTTGTAGTCCCAGAAAAAACTGACAAGTCCCAAATATTTCTGTAGAAAAATGATAAATGGGGAAAATAGAAGCCTTTTTTGAAAATGAATCTGGAAAACTGTAATATACTTGTGTCATTTCCATTGTTTGTTCTCTTTTTTTTTTATTTGATGTCTGCTCTTATATGTTATGCTTTCCCATCCATTTGCTTTCAACAAAATCATGATAGAAAAATAAAAACTGCATCTCAGTTTGTCTAGTAAGTGGGGTTTGTCCTTTTCATCCATTGAATTGCTTAATCTTTGAGAAAGAATTACATACTGTGCTTTGGATTATGTATTGTTAATTCAAGAGTTGCCATGTGCTGTAACAGGAGCAGGCTTCCTGGGTGTGCCAGTGTGATGACAACATGGTTCAGAGACTAGAAACAGATTTCAAGATGACTCTTCAACAGCAGAGCACTCTGGAGCAGTGGGCTGCCTGGCTTGATAATGTAATGATGCAAGCGTTGAAACCATATGAAGGAAGACCCAGCTTTCCTAAAGCAGCACGGCAATTTCTGTTAAAATGGTCTTTCTACAGGTAGTATTTAATAGACTTCTAAAACATTCTAACTATTCTGTTATTTGCTGAATTGTTCACTGCAGTAAAGTTGACAGATGTAATATCACACAGTGGCTCTCTAGGTCATGAAAAATGTGGGGGATTTTTCAGAAAATTATTGTTGTTAACCTTGAACTCAGGGCTACTTGCAAATCGGCAGGGACTTAAATGATCCTTGTTTATTGTTGTAAAGGCCATGTGCAAATGAATGCAGGTGGAATTTTGTCCTGAGTTAGAAACATAATACAAAATTTTTGGGTTGAATACACAATTATTAAGCCACTATTTTTAATATTATTTATTAAAACACTGTGATATCTATGTTTATTACATAAGGAAGACAAAACCTGTTTTTAATGTGTAAAACAAACATTAAGACAAGCATTCCATGTTAGCTGCTTATTGAAACAGTTATCAGAGTAAACCTCGTTCTTTGAAAATGACTGTAGCAATTACTTGCTGAAGATACCAGAATTTGTCAATATCATATGTACACACAAGCCTATCTTTTTGTAATTTTAAGTTTCAAAGTTTTAAAATTGTGGCAATTAAAACCTTTGTACTGGGAAGATGGACACATCAGACACTATTTAAGCATTAGTTTGTTTAAAATTGAATTTCTTACCATTTTAGTTGTTTATGTTTTCAACAAAGTTTTCTTTCAAGTTAGGTTTTACACATGGTCAAGTATTGCTAGTTATGCATATACCAAAACAAAGAAAAACTGAAAACAAAACAATCTGGTTATTTCTTATGTAACGTAGTGTCCAACAATACCTTCAGAGAAAGGAGAGAAGCAAATGATTGCCTTTCCTGGACATCTCTTTCTGAAGACACCACAAATCAGACATTTGTGGATAACATTACTTTTGAGAATATTAGTTTTGAGGTGACATGTCTACATGGATAAGTGTTAAAATGACTATGACATATAATAAATAAATATATATATTTTTCTATTTTTGAATAGCTCAATGGTGATTCGAGATTTAACCTTGCGCAGTGCTGCTAGCTTTGGCTCTTTTCATCTGATCCGCTTGCTTTACGATGAATACATGTTTTACTTAGTAGAACATCGTGTTGCTCAGGCAACAGGAGAGACACCTATTGCAGTTATGGGAGAGGTAAGATAATATGTAACAGACTAGATTGATAGATTTAGTGATGAATTTGGGTATGTGTCTTTGCAAACTTTTTAAACGTTTATGTGGAGCTGTAGGATGTTCTGCAATATAACAATAGGTTGGGTTACAAATACGTACAACAGTTTCCAACTTGTTTCATTGGTTGATTGTCAGAGTACTAAGATCACATTGAATTCTAACAACCAATTATTTCCAAATGAGCTTGCTCCTTTACAAATCTGCATACAGATTCATGTGCACAGTTTGAAAGATGTTGATCAACATACAGCCTTTTTCCAGTTTTTGAGAACTGAGTATCTTATGTGAAAATAAAAAAAGAAGAGAGTAATAGGAGGCTGTTGCTTATGTGGATCTGTTTACATGTATTTGCACACATTTTGAATTCCCACACAATTGTTATCAAAAGTGGGCTGAGTACCCCCATTGACTTCAGAAGGATGGCTTACGTGCAGAATTTTGGCTTGTATGGTACTGTTCACAAACATGTAGTAAAACCAGCGCAGACATACATAGATGTTTGCAACACAGTTGATCGTCATACATGTGTTTCAAAGATCATTGGTTTCAAAAACAGAACAAGAGTCTCAGTTAATAACCAGTTTTTTATACTCATCTATGGCATCTGCAAGGCAAAGTTTATCTCATCCCTCTTTTTTCCAGTAGTTCATCTAACCTTTTATTTTGAGTGAGACAGTGAGGAGTGCATGGATTGTTATCAAAGAATTGCACTTCAAAAGTGCTGGAAAATGGATATATTTGAAAATATGCTAGATAGTTAATGGGACAGATTTGTTACATCTTTACATTTGGGAGTCACTGTATCGTGTTCTATGTTACCGATAAATCGCAAGTCATTTTGCGAGTTGATTTGGCATCAGGTATCATTCTTCCCTCAAGATATATTGATACGCTCCTTAAATACTATAAATAGATGCTATACTTTCAAGAGAAATTGGAAATGTCTCAGCTTTATTTGTCAGGTGATTTTATATCATGTGGCATGACATGTTTCAGAAAAACTAAATAACATTGTTTCTGCTTAGTGACCAACCAATAGTATATTTACTTAATCTCTGCCTTGTGTTTGCAGTAAGGTTGTACACAAGTATACAGTTACTACATTCTTGTCGTCTTCACAGACGTTGTATATGTTAGACATAAATGTATGTAGGGTCTTCTAAAAAGTTTATGTAGACTAAAGATGGAGATATTATGAGGAAGTAAGTAACCCAAAACTTTTGGAGGTGAGAGGGGCAGAACAGAATTAGTAAATACTCATTAAATGCACGTCTTTTCATGTTTCTGTGTATTCAATGACTGTGACTGAAACAAAATGAGGAAGTCTAAGACTATGGTCTGACAAACACCACAAGACAGTATAAACTGGTGTTGCAACTGAGAAAAGCATTCTCATTTTTCTCCCTTCCTCTTCTCCCAGCTTTGGACACAGGCATTGGCAAAGTTGTTCTGAAAAAGACTGGTGGTATAATTTATGGCTAGAAATGTATTTATCTAAATAATGCACTCCTTTAATTTGAGATTCATTGATGGCATTTTCCTCTGCCGATTCCTATTTAAGAGAAACTTAGAAGATTCAGAGAAGGAAAGGGAGGAAGGTCATACATCTAGCTTGTGAGCAACTTTTTTGAAAAGGTCTTTTTTTGATGTAAGTAAATTGGTTACCAGATTGTAAACCCTTTCTCAGCAGTGCCTTTCATCTACCTTACAAGTAGATTTGCAACACTGTGACACACCTTCATTTTTGTTCCAGCACAATTAAAGTTGTCTCTGGGAAATTTTAAAAAGAGCTTTTTGTTAAAATGTTGGCAGTTCAGAATGGATATCCATCATAATTTATGGCTTTATACAACACAGAAATAGCTCACTTCAAGCAACAAAGGCCCTGATGACGTAATCTTAAAAAAGTTTGTACTTCCCCATTTTAATTTTTAAGGGTTTACTTAGTGATAATTGTCTTAATAAGCACAAGACTAGGATGGAATGAAAAATGAATTACTGTACTATGGATGTGGCTGCAGCCAAGATCATGCACTTGAATGCTAGCCTCAAACCAGTGGAGCACAGATACTCTAAGTTCATGTTTGCTTAAGACTGTGTCCAGTTTTTTTATTGTTTATTTTGCAGTTTGGTGATTTAAATGCTGTGTCCCCTGGAAATATGGATAAAGGTAAGCATTTTAATCTCTCCAGTGTATAATTCTGGATAGAGCTCATGTGTCTCTTGGAGCAAAATATGTCCTTATGTTTTTAAAATACAGTAAAACAGAATTTAAAGCTGTTTTATGCATGGATTTATACATGCTTTAAAGTGCATGTATATGTTATACAGATATGTTAATATATTATATGGATACAATAAGCTATCTAGGTAATATGCAGCATATAATAATGACTACAATATTGTAGGTTTGTTTTAGAATAAGAATATATTTTGAAGATGTTTATTGACACAAGAAAAGTTCCAATTTTTATGCAGAATTTAGTTGTATCTGATAGGACAGAGGAGGGTAACAGCTGTGGGAAGAAAGACAGAAGTATGCTTATGTATGTTTATCTGTAGTAAATGTTTTGCTAAGTGAAGAGGGCAGAATTGCATGCAAGTAGTTGTCAGATAACTTGTCAGTGAAGAGGATAGAAAGAAATGAGTTCCTTATAACCTCTTCATGCCATATTTTGATATACATTCTTATACTGACTAGTTGAGTGATTTGGGGTGACTTGACCCAAATCAAAATTTGGGGTCAAGTCACCCCAAATCTCTTCACCTCAGTTTCCCTTTCTGTAGCTAAGAGTAACAACTCTTTTGTTCATCATGTCTTAGGGATGAGAGGCATTTTGCAATATGAAGTTAACATTGTTTGTTAGAGATTGGTTTTGAGATTGCAGTTGTTTTTTCCACATACTGTATCAACAGTGTGTAACTCAGGTAATCAAAGCTGACAGTCTGTTTGCCTGTTTGAGATAATCATTGACTTTTTCCATTAAAATTTTAAATTTTCAGTTCGTGCTTTATCAGATTGCTAATCTTCCCTGTATTTTTGAATTTCAAGTATTATTTGCAAAAAAAAAAAGGCCCTTGTATTAGATTTTTTCCCCTCGGTGCTAGTTTCATGGTGGTTTGTTTGTGCAGATGAGGGCAGCGAAGTTGAAAGTGAAATAGATGAAGAGCTGGATGAAAATGGAGAGCCACAAGCCAAGAGGGAGAAAACAGAGCTAAACCAGGCGTTCCAGGTGGGCTGCATGCAGCCAGTGCTTGAAAGTGGAGTACAGCAGAACCTCCTGAACCCAATTCATAATGAGCACATTGTTGCAACTACTCAGACTATCAGACAATGCAGTGCTACTGGAAATACATATACTGCAGTCTAATATGAAGCCTCCCCCCCGACACACAGCCCTTTGGGTTTAATATGAAAAAAAAAATAAAGAGAATAAGTCCGAAGGTCGACTGTTGTCAAATTTTAGCTGTGCTGAACGTTATTTTATTGGAGTTGTTAAATGGAATGGGTGTATGTATTTTGCCAGATCTGTTTAAAAAAAAAAAAAGAGATTTTTTGGTAAACAGAATCATTTTACATTGGCCGCTCAGTATGAAGAGTTTTCTTAATATCAAATGCAAGGAAGATTTTTGCAAAGCTTAATGTTAATGTTTTTGTCCTCTTATGATAATTTAAATTTTTTCATAGTTTTTTAAAAAATTTTAATGTTAATTATTAGTTATGATGATGATTTCATATAGATAGGTTTTTAATTAGATGCACTTCTGTGAAATATCAAAAGAACTATTTTCTTTGATTTACACTGGAGGCATACTTATTTGACAGCAGATGTATCAAATTTGTTATAAAAGGTGCTTTTCATTGGACAACGAGAAAACACTATTTTGATAAAATTGTGAGCATTCAGGGGGAATTTTTGTAATAATGCTGGAGGGTTGGGAAGATCTCCTAGTTTCTTTCTGTGAGCACGAAGCAAGTTTAAATGTGACAGAATTGTACCAGAATGTGGTAATGTGTACGTCATAAACGTACCTAATTATCTGACCGTCATGTAAACAATGCAAGCTTCCTTTAAAATCAACAGTTCCAGATATTATTTACATACCAGTTCCTCTGTTTTGAAGACTACTGATTCTATATGTGGGGCCACTGAACAGGTGCTTTTGGCTGTTGAGTGGTACTGTAGTTGTTAGAAACTGAAGCTAAAAAAGAAGTGACTTGATTATTATTATTAAGTGTACGTGCTACTTATGCTGAACTGGACATACAGGAAAACATTCCATTTGGATGACTTTCTTCTATTCCAGGTCTTTTCCTACTAGTGGTTCAACCTGCTGCTCTTAGAAAAGATGATTTATAGAATGCAAGGAATGTAGCAACCTGCATCATTTTCCTTTCAAAAATATTTCCTTGTTGTTAAAATGGATTTAAATTTTTACAAAAATTAGATAAGGCAGTGTAACTGGCACACCTCACTTGTACTTATTCCCAATTGTGTAGAATTTGAATAGGTGGCTAGATGGACCATTGCCATTTAAGAATGTACATCAGGGATCATTGTACCTCGGCTATTACATGGTGCCTTAAACAGAACTGAAGCTAAGACTTAGTACTTTTTGTTATTCTTAACTCTTAAATTAATTCAACAAGGTGTGCCTGTCATTTTCAAATTCCCTAAGAAGTAAGGACAGGTTACATAGCCTTCAAAAGAATAAAAGGATTTTTTTATTATTAAATGATTTTAATATCCCTCTTAGAATGACAATAAACCTATTTTTTCTCATTTCTAGCTGGATTTCACTTTATTACAAATAAAATCTGCTTGGGAATTTGGAAAGCAAAACTAGCTTTAATACCAACTTCAAATGTCAAAATAGATTGACCATAGTCCCAAGCATGATTATATATTTTCTAAACCCTTGCCTACTTTTAATTTTAAAAACTAAAAAGAAATAAATGAGCAAGTACATAATGCAGTGCATGTTTTAAATTTCTATATTTTGTGGGGTATCAGCCAGACATTACATTTTAATGGTTAAATAGTGACAGTTTATAGAGATCATATTAATTGACATTAAACAACTCAAATTTTTCTTCTTAAACATTTCATTATGCAGACACATGAATTTGCTACACTAAAATAGTGGAATTAAATAAGCAAAAAAGCCAAAAAGTGAAGGAGAGCACAAAAAGATCAACTTTACAGAAAAGACTGTGTAAGAAAATTACAGATTCTTTTATTTTGGTTTATCTAGTGTGTCTGAAAACGACTTTAAAGTCATATATACCAAATGGGAGAAGAGCATGTAAAATGAACTGCGTATTTATAGCAACCAAGTTTGTTGCTAGAGGTTTACATATGCTCCAAATACAGCTGCACATCATCTAAAATGTCCTAACATTATTGGTGTACAAAATTAAATTTTAATTCCTTTGCAGAACTGGGAGGTGAACCCATCCTGCTCATTTTATGTAGGCATAATTCCTACTAATGTCAGTAGATGGCTTTTGCCTCAGTAAAAAGTGAAAGTGAGGTTTATATTCATTATTTCTAAATTCATAAATGCACTGAATCTCATTATAGTTTTTGTTCTCACATATATTGCTCAGTGTGTTCTGATTTTTCCTTGGAAATCAGCACATCTGTACCCTTCACCAAAAATACTAAAACTAAGCTGTGATAAATATTTACTCCCCTTCATTGTGCATTATAAGATGTTTACAAGTAAAATAAAGTGAAATAATTCAACATTTTTTTCATTTTCAGCTTTTTTTTAATGCTGTAGTACTTGTTTCAATTTTTGTGTTGACGGACCTATAATGTTTTCTTATTATTGTCCTTTCTTGGTTTAATGTTGGATTTGTTGTTGCTGAGAAAAGAGTACGATTGTAATAGGTAAATCTAGATTGCTAAAAAAGGTGGGACCTGAGTATCTCATTATTTAGCTCCCCACTCCACTCAGTTGTTCACTGTTCACAAAGTGCAAAACAAAACTAAACAAAAATCTGAATACAAAAATGGAATGTATTTCATAGCTTCTAAAAACAATGCATTATCAAAACAAATTGGAACTATCCCGGGTTCAGAAAACTGAAGGGAGTCTTTATTCCTATGCTTAAATTTTAAAGATTTTACCAGGTTTTTTTAGAACTATGTTACTGTAAGCTGCGTTGTATATTTACAGGTTTGGGGGTCTTCTGTTTTGATTTTACATTTACTGAAATTTTAATCAAACACTTAGATAAAACATTTTGCACACTCTTGCTATTTAATAGTTGGGTTTTGGTAACCATTAAACTACAGAGATATGAATACCTCAGTCCATATTCTATAATGTGTAGCATGCGGTTGCATTGCCACACCAGCTCTGAAGTCTATTGTTAGTGCTCTGGAGAAGTGTAGCATGTATCCACAGGGTAGACATTATGAGAGTTGACATGGTTTATGTGTTTTATCTAATCTTGACATGGAATCCAAAATAATTACTTTAGAGGCATTTCCCCCATTAGCACAAATAGCACAGTGAACAGTGTAGGGGAATGGGTATTGTTGAACTACCTTTTCAAAACACAGGGCCCAATTTTCAAAAGTTTTATATTTATTAGAATTTGTTGGTACATTTTAATCTTTCTCACAGTAAATCAGTTTTAAAGCTTTTTTTTTCCTGTTTTCAATTATTATTTCTGTGTTTTGCTATTGTACTGTAGCATGCTCTAAGCACCTTCTTTTAAAAAAAAAAGTTCCATACAAATTTGGAAAATAGATTTTAAATTATTTACCTATAAAATGATGATTTACAGCATTACTGCCTTTAGTTCAAAAATAAGAAAACAGATAAAGCTACGTCATTCAGGAATGTATAGGTCTATATACAAATTTAATTTAAAGCGAGGTATTTTTAAATATCTAAAACACTTCTTTTGTTCACCTTGTTTTCCCTATGAGAAATGATCTGATATCTTTGTCATTCTCACCAGTTGACATCTGCACTGTTTAGAAAAAATTTTGTATGAGATGCACTGCAATCCGATTTAATTCAGAATGTTTTTACAAAATAAAAACAACCATTGATAGCCTTAAAAGGGCTGATGAAAAATAGATTTATTAGTAAGATAAGTATACAACAATAATTTCAGTGTTTAAAACATTCATTTGAGCGAGCAGTATGAATTTCTGAAAATTGGGCCCTTGTCTCTCTAACAGGACATCCTCTTTGTATATGGTTTAAAACAAATCAATAAATGGAATTCTAGTGTATCTGCTAATTTGTTTGGTGATTTAAGACAAACAAACAATAAAAACTGGAATAGAAGCATAAACACACAGTGCTTAGTTCTAGTATTAGAAAATTAATTTGATATAATGCCTTGCATTAACCCTTTGAGCATTGTAAGTAACATGATGGGAACAAAGCTTTTTAGATAATTTAATTAGTCCATTGAGCATATACTTTGAAATAGCTGATAGTGTTGTAGAAATTTTTTTTAATTATGTCTGAAGTAAATACTTGCAGACTATATGGGAATGGTTTTGTTATAGGAGGCTCAATAGATGTAGGCAAACTATTCACTGCCATTGATGTGTACTGTCTAAAACAGTACTTCAGCTCCCTTGTTTTCATAATTGCATAAATGTATAAGGAAAATAAAACATATGTGTCTACAGATACGAAGTTGTCTACTTTAAGATGCCTTTAGAAGATAAATGTTTAGAAAATATATTCAAACTATTTTGAAAATCTCCTGAGGTAGATTAGGATTGGAATACTCTGGTACTGTGAAAGAGAATCTTTAGGATTAAAAGAAGGCTTAGTGAAGAATAAATTTTGCAGAATATTTGGTATGTTTGCATTGAAATTTTTGGTGGTGTTTTTGATAAACAAGAACAAAAAGTGCACGATTATATTGATACTCCTTTTAAAACTCAGTCACTGCAATAATGACTAGCTGAAAGGTGAAGGTATTTTATTCATCTTCATTTACAGGGGTACAGTTTGGATGGCCCTTATTGAATGTCAGAATTTTAAAAGCAACCTAGAAATTGCACAAGCCTTTTGCCATTTCAAAAAGCCCCTTTGTTCTTACAAATACTGCTTACAAGAACAAGGGAACAAGTGTAGTAGCACTTACAGATAGAAATGCCACCTTACTAAGTGAGAGTACAATACATTTTCTACTGTTTCTTGCAATATCAATGAGTCCACAAACACTAAGTGCAGCTGTACTTATTTAAGTCCAGCTGAGGGCAAAAAACAAAGGGTCTCACTTTAAGTTATTTAATGGAATTACGTCAGTAGTATAGTGCAAGTAAGTGTAAACATTTTTAGTCAGTTAATGCAAATTCATGCATAATTAATTAACATAAATGCAATACTCAAAGGGTTTTAATTTAACAACTTTTTTTATTCATAA